GTAAAGTGGTCTCTATAAAAAGGCAAAAATCGCATCTTTCTATCATCTTTCGTTCTCGTGTTATTCAAAAAACATCCATCCATAGCCACTTAATTGTGAAATGGGATAGTAATTATCGTTCAATTTGGTAAGTATAGTTTGAAAAAAAAGCAGAACAGGTGTCGAAATAACGCAGTTTTTGGTACATGTCAATTTGGGGTTCGTTCGCTGCGCTTAAAATTTTTTTGAATACACAAATGCAAGACAATATCTAAATATATAGGGTGATAGAGAATTTCAAGCGCTATCAGAATATATAACTACTTTTATAAAAACTAATTTTTACAGAGATGATAAGTTTAAAAAACAAATCACAAAGATAGTAACAAAATACAGTCCGTGGGAATCGGATGATGAGGGTGCCTTCATCGCAGTCAATTTATTTTTCAGCAAATGAGTGCAAGTCAAGATGTAAATATACAGAATTGTAGAACATTCCAAGCGCTATTAGAATATGCGATCATTTTTGTAGAAGTATATTTTCGTAAGGAAAATATCTTAAAAATACTGTGTGCAGCTAGTTTTTTCCGCGAGGATAGACTGGGTCAATTCCAGATTGACCTAGTTTAATCTAGAATTCCAAGCTAGCCTAGATCAACTTAGAATTAGACTAGAATATATTAGAATTGTTCAATAAAACATAGATTTTTCAATAATAATAGTAAAAAATGAATCGATGTATTTAGTTTTGGACAATCTTAGATACCTGAGATTACTCAAAGGATTTATTTGAATCCTTATTGAAATCCTTGAATAGCTATTTGAAAAAACTATATTATACTCTTTTCTCCTTTTCAATTTTGATCCCTTTATTTGGCTAACATTTAGAAATAAAATAGTAAGAAAAAAAGTAAAGTACTGATTTGAGTCAGTCACCCCTACGTCGTGAAGCAGAACTTATCGCTAACGGGAAACGAAGATTTGATGTCAAAAGTCTGTTGCTTTAACTAGCATAAAATAGAGGCTGTTTGGTTTAAACTTTCTTATAGAGGAAAGAGTAATCAAATCGGGCTGTGCCCATTGCATGACACTGGAAGGGAGAAAGAGACAGGAAAAAAAATAAAAAGTAAAAAACCAGATAAATAAAAATACATAACAAAAGAACAAAAACAAAATGCTAATGTTTTACCAGATGAAAACAGTACAGAAGTAATAAGATTTCAGAGGTGAGAAGGAGATGAGGATGATTTTCTGTAGGTAGAGACTGTTTCTATAGGTGAGCTCGCGTAATATATTGGCTGGGGATATGGGATGAAAGCATCTTGTAATTTCTTATTATCTTGTGACCTCGAAAAACTCGATGTATGCGAATCTCAGTTTGAAAACGTATTATTTATGTGCTTTCTTTCAATGAAATGATAATCATACATTATTATTGAAAAATCTATGTTTTATTGAACAATTCTAATATATCCTAGTCTAATTCTAAGTTGATCTAGGCTAGCTTGGAATTCTAGATTAAACTAGATCAATCTGGAATTGACCCGGTCTATATTAGAATCGAAAGATGCAGACATCTCAATCCTAAGTTGACCTAGGTCAACTTAGAATTCCAAGATAACCTAGATCAATCTGGAATTGACCTGAATTCTAAATTAGCCTGTAACATACACCTTTTAAGAGGGATACACCACTAAAAAATAGGCCAAAAAACAGAAGATTTTAAGCATAATACTTCAACTCCTTCTCCTTTGGAGATACTGAAGGAGTTTCACAAAAATAACCTTAAGTCATACGTTTTATGATATTTGTTCATTAATAATTTCTTTCTTTTATAATTAATTTAAGATTGATGCGTGACCGTAGTGGAAACTTTTTCTTTTTCATCTAAGGAATTTATGATGTTTGACATGGTTATCTATTTATATTTAAATGAAAAAACTTCAAGAGGTATATATACATACTATGCACTTCTGACATGCGATCAGACACTAAGAATAACATGGTATGCATAATTAGAAATGACAGCGATTATTTAAACATCATTCTTCTAGAATACGATCCGTGTTTAAACAAAGAAAGTTAACCACCTCAATGACATCCAATCTATTGCACAATTACAATCGATCTATGATAATATATATATATATATATATTGTTGGAATAGTGAATTCAATTTTACAGTTTACAATATAATTCTAAATCCATATATTTCATATTTATTCAAAAAAAAAAATTGATCTTATAATTTCTAATAGGTTAAGTTTTAGAATAACCATGATGATTTTATATTTCTTTGCTTTCAAGATATTTATACAGTTCTTTCTATATTTTTGGATTATTCCAGTTATCATTATGTAGATTCATCGTATAAGAGAGTGTTAAAAATGTCAAAAATATTGATAAATAATAATAATATTGTCTTGTTAAGTTCGACAACAACAATAAATGACATTAGAAATATCATTTCTTGCTAACTATCAACATTGTATAATCTTAAAAAGTTGTTTATGTTCTGATAGTTAATAGTTATAATGTATCAGTGTCATCCTGTTACGGTATGAATATAATCTGGACGATTTTGTATTTTTAATACATTTAATTTTCTTCCTGTAGATCTACTATCTTCAATCATACATGTAGTTGGAAAAAGACATTTTTTAATTATATTACATAATTGTTTACGAAATATTTTTGTTGATAAATAAATATAAAAATTACATGAATAATCAGTATAGAATAATATACGAGCAATTTGTAATGCTAAATTTTCCCAAGCTAAACATAATAAATCTTTAGATACATCGTTTGTAATTAAACTGTACATTAATTGAACACCAAATGGAATTGATGACATAATTGTGGCTATAATTTGTAATAATAACATAGATGTCAAATTCTCTTCGATAATTTGAATAGGTGATTGATGTCTGAAAAATGGTATAGTAGAATGATGAACATGTTTGATATTATTTAATGTTAAAAATCCGGGTAATGGTGATTGAATAATATGTCATTTTCACATTACTTAATGCTCGTCGACGAACACTACGTGAACTAGATATATAACGGTCAAATGAAGCCAATGAAAGAAATGATAAAGCTAATACAGCAGCTGTCTGACTGATAAAATTGCATAATTTACACCAGACAAGTGACGTGTTTGTGGGATCAATACTAAAACCTTGTCCCAAAATACGAGTTAGAAGTGTAATGTTTAATTTAAAAAAATCGCTAATTGATGAAGCAATTAGATAGAATGTACACGATCTTTTTCTTAAAGATTTTTGTACAAATACCATTATATTGAGTATACTACCGATTGTACCGAGTATGTAAAAACATGTATCAAAATAAATGTTTATTTGTGTCGAAATAAAATTCAAAAAATTGATTTCGTTAGTCTGATCAGACGACATTTTCTTTATGCTAAATACTTATAAATGGAAAATGAACGATATTCTGCAAGCTAGAGAGAGAGAGAAAAAACAAAACCTTCATGCATGACATCTGGAGATAATCCATTCCAATGATAACTTGAAGTTTTGTGCAAACGTATATTTCCGAAGTGCTGACATTTATAATAAATCAACCTATTGAACACGTTTTGCTATAATGACTGATATTTTATAATAGAATGTAGGCAGATTATAAATGGGCTAGACCGCATATAATCGTGTAAGAATACATGATCTCATTGAGAAAACCCAAACCAGTAATGAATCAGTTGGATTCAAAATTGGCCGAGGGCTATCAACAAAAAAAGAACCGGGGGTATTAACATTAGGCATGCACCAATTGAAACAAATTACTAGTTCTAAGAACATTTGTTTTATATGTTTTTTGCGTACATCAGATTGTTCGACAGGTTTTCCTCTATAAAATAAGGTATAATGAAGTTTGTATTTGCATTTGAGAAGGCAAAATATTAAATATTAACAAATTCCGACTAATTCCCCATCAATTCCAATTTCAATCCCACCTTTTAAAAAACAGTGTATAATGTTTAATCTAATGCCGACGCAAAATTTCTAAATAGCCTGTTTTGTAAAGAAAATTCGACAGTACAATTCTACATTGTGGATAAAAATTGGTAACAAATGATTTGAGAGATACACTTATTTTCGAAGATGCACCAAAATACCAAATCTAGATTAAAATTACTAGTTAAAATTAATAAATGAGCTTCCACCATAGCATGTAACAATAAATCAACAATTTTTCTCGATCAGAAAAAGAAATTAGCAACTATTATTCATGTTCATTGCACGTCTATTGCATTGCACAACATAACTCTAAATAAGTTAACAACAACACTAATAAGCGCACGAACTGAAGAATAAATGAATATTGGTACAATTACCACAACAGCAAAGGCATAGTCTTAACGAATAAAAGCATAAAAACCAAAACTCTGGCTCTTGGCGTGTTCTAATAGCCGATACTGTAATACGTGATGTATATTTGTAACAGTTCAGCTCGTCGCAAAACGCTTGAATCAGAAGCAAGTTCGACCATTTTCAAATCCAAGTCCAACAAATTTTTATTGTCTAGTTAAAGTCCAGATTCAAGTCCAAGTTCATAGTGGTTTTTACATTATGCAGTAGATCATAATCTATCAAATTCTACTCATTCTGATGTTAAATGTGATAGATTTTAACTGCTTGAACTTCAAATGACTAGATAAAAAAATCCCGCAGTCCAAGTCATTTAAGTCTCAAGTTAAAGTCAAGTCCAAGTCCGTCAAAAAAAGCTTTAAGTCCGAACCTGGATTTGTCCACCTCTGTTCGGTTGTTCCAAGCGACAGTCGAATCCATGTAAAAAATTTTGACTAATTAAGTTTAATGTGTAGGTGTAATGTGTTCGTCTACGAACGAGTTCCAACATGTTCAGAAGCCAGATGTTTTGAATTTATGAGTGAAAATTCTTAAAAAGTTTGCAAAATACGCTCCCTATGTAAGAATTGAACTGAAAATGTTCAAAATTTCATCTGCTTTATATTCTGTATATATTCTTCTAGATAGAAGGAACAGAACAATCGGCACCTACACCTACTTCGTACTTTGTGTGATAGGTTTGAGCCGTGTGACTACCTATAAAACAAAAAATAAACATGCGTAACTTAGTGTTAAGGGCCTGCCCTCCCTCAGAAATGATGATTTTCGGTCAAAAAATCGGTTTTGAGATACGCACATGGAAAGATAACCTGAAGTGTCTGCTTCCAGAATCTGTATTGCTTTTGGTTACAAAACTGGTTTTTCAGAAATTTTGAACAAGTTTTCTAAGAGCCTCGAAAAACTGGGTCTTCAAATAGTAGGTTTTTCCTGGACACTTATGCAGTTAAAACTTTTCTGAACACACAGCTTTGTAGAGCAAACGTTTCTGATCAAAATAACCTTTCGCACAATCCCGTATGATCTTGCGTCAAAAAGTTACAGGCATTTTCCTAGAAGTCCTAAAATCGGGTATTTCATACAGCGTTTAATACACCTTTTTCTCTATATAGGAGTTACACCTGAAGTGCGTCCCAAGATTTTTGATAGCGGTTTGTCGTAGAGACTACATTCTTTTTTTGTTTAAAAGAAGAAAAGAAACTACATGGACTGACCGGCGTCGATTTTTGAATTAGGTCTTAGTTTTTTGTCAAACTGAGGAGTTTTATAAAATCCAGAAGGCTTTTTCGGGTTTTGGAGGTTGTTGGTTGCCTGGAAAATCAATAAAGGCTTAATTGAAAAATCGGCGACGGTCAGTCCATGTAGTTAGATGTCTAGTTTAAAATAAAACAAACTCGAACTCTCCAGCTTGAAGTATATTAAAAAATCTTGGGACACCGTTCAGGATCCTTTTTGGACATTGATCTCTGGAAAACTTCTAAACCGTAAGACTTGGACACAAAAAAATTTTCTCATTCCCGTAACTCATTGTGCCTAACATTTATGGAAAGTTTCATCAAGATCGAATGTACGGTGTCCGAGATAATTTCTGGGGGAGGGGGGCCCTTAAGTCATCACAGCTCGATCTTAATTCAAACCAGAGGTGAGCAAGTCAAAGTTCGGAGTTAAGTTTTTTTTGACGGACTTATACATATAACATTCATATTATATGTGAGAAAAAGACACTATCTTCACTTGAAAATGTCGCTGATGAAGTTGACTGGCCTTTGAGTATCTGTTCTAGATGCTGCCAAAGCTACTGGCTAGAGTTTCTGTTTTTTATAGTTATTTTGTCCTCGGTCAGTTAAGTGATTGTGAAATTTTGAATGATGAAATTCCATCGATGGTAAATCAATTAATGCTATGTTTATCATTATTATCATTTACAGTTGTTGCTACAGGCATCATTAGGGATGTATGATCGGGGTACTTCAGAAAAAATTTTCAACATCGTTTTGCCTTCCCATACGGTAACATTTTGAAAAATTTTTGAGCAAGACCATGGGAAAAATTTTTTCTAAAGTACCCCGATCCAAAAGTTATTGCGTACCACATAATCAACCATGGAGAAAACGAATCTGCAATCGGTTTCGACCGAACAAGCTTTTGAAATTTTTCGATCCGGTGATATGAGATGAATGTTCGATGAAAATTTCATTGGCCTTGGAGTTTCCCTTACCTTCGCGCATCCACTATACTGCGGTACGCTTTTTGGAACACACTTAGCGTAGAAAGAAAATTTTTTTTCTCGATGATAAAGCGTTCTGGAAAATTTTTCTTTTAGTGATAGATAGAGTCAAAGGTCTAGTTTCGCACGGTGTAAAAGTTTTGCGAAAATCGTACTTTGTTTCGACGAAAATAATTTTTTAACTTAATCGCTTTGTTTTCCGACAAAAGTTTACATGGCGATTTTTTCGCTAATTATGACACCTAGAAAAAAGCTTTCAATGGCAAAAAGATAGAGGGTTTGCCCAAGCAAGTATATAGCTTGCTATTTTAATTTGCTAAAAGTCCACTTTCGTTTTTTCACCTAATGTCCACATGGGTGCCCACTGTGGGATGCCTTTCAAAAGTTCTTACTCTTTTTCTGATGAGTGAGATACTAAGAAATGTTGAAATGCTCTCTTCCTGTTCTGTTCTGCTCATACGTACAGTATGAGCAATAGCAGTCAAAATCATTCATCATACTTTGCCTTTTCATTTCTGTTTTGACACAAATGAAAAGGCAAAAGAATGATTAATAGCTGCCGTAAAGAAAGTTGCACAATACACTGTGGACCCGTGAATTTCCGCCTGAAATTTTACAAAATTTGGGAGGTAAAGACAGTGAGTTTCACGACGTTGACGTCGCACAGTTGCAACGTCAAACGCGTGTCCATGAATGGAAATTGTTTACCTGTGTACACATGTGAAGCCCCCCCACGCATGATTAAGTGGGAAAAAATCTTGACGATGGTCAAGATATAACACAGTCTTCATCAATGCAATCTCATCTATAACTTTTTCCACATGTGACCACTAGTTTCTAAAATATCACATTTTATATATATCACCACAAAGTAACCAAGATACTTTGAATTAGAAATCTACGATACTACTATTGAGCTAACTTGCCTGAGAAACTAATGAATAAATCTCATATTCATACTTGTCGGATCAATTCTCACGAGTTACCACATGTAAAAAACTTTCCACGCGTGGTTACTCGTAAAACTTCCTAAATCTTTTTTCCTAGTTTCCAAACTGTTTTTAATTAATACTTCCTCCCGGGAACAAGATGATTCCCAGGCATATTTCTACAGAAAATATATTCGATCTACAGTAAACAAGTTTCACTGGCAAACACGCGTCAGAATGTCTAGAACGAATTTTATTATAGAAGGTACCACTTCACATTAATCCACGTGTAATTTTGTGTGTGTATAGAAAAGAACTTCATGAAAAAATTACACGTGGATTAATGTGAAGTGGTATCTTTTATAATAAAATTCGTTCTAGACATTCTGACGCGTGTTCGCAAGTGAAACTTTCTTACGGAAATATTAACGCGAAAAATCTTTTTGCTGTGCAACCAAAAATAACGAAAAAAATTTTAATTTCCGCTGGGATGAAAGAACAAATTTTTATTTTACAGCCCATGTATGTTACAAAATATATTAGAAATTAAACGGCAACCGTAGAAAATCAATCAAGCGTTTCGCCCGATTGCGTAGCAACTGATCAGTATCAAAATATTATTGACTTGCGAGTTCGACAGATATTTTTATACTTTTGAGTAGAGCCAAATCTTCTGAATCGTCTGATAAACAGGTTTTCTGAATCAGACACAAATTAAGAGAGTGCGATTCGTTTCGATCCATGGAATAAATCATCCTCCCCTTGGCATCCATTGAAAATTAGTATGATTTGAAAACAACTCTCCTTATTTACTGCACCATTTGAACGGATAATATGCTGTATATTTAAGCAACATACCATTACCTAGAGTACGAAACGAAGATTTTAAAACATTACAAGTGCTATCTACTCTAACAGCCCACGCACAAAAAAATCGTTAGAAACGGCAAAAAAACGCGTTTTATAAAAACACGTTACGAAACTCCCGTATTTTGACCCATCTTCACGCGTTTTCTATAGGATATAACGCGTGTAAACGCGTTTCATACCGTTTGTTATTTTCCATTCGCACGCGTTTTTCAAAAACAGTCTTTTGAACACCTTAGAAACGCGTTACTTACAAAAAACGCGTTTCAGATGAAATATTTAACGCGTTTTTTGATCGTTAAAAATGGAATAAAAACGCGTTTCGGGATCGAGTCAGCTACTCCTGAATCATTTCAGAAATGCGTTTCACAACGTTTGTTTCATTTTCCGTTCTCACACATTTTTAACGGTTGAAAAATGCAACTAATCATTCACCGTCTTGTTTTGCGGTCAGCCTACTATATAAGCACAATCGAAATATCGAAGAGATATCGTCGTCTTTTCGTTCTTTTTTAGTTTTAAATCAACAGTTTTGTACTTCCTTTATTACAGATTTTCACTATTTTCAGATTAAGTCCCACTGGGTAGCCAAGTTTCATCTTTGGCTTAACAAAAATTCTGGAATGATTCAGGAGCTGCAGACTTGATCCCGAAACGCGTTAAATGTTTCATCTGAAACGCGTTCTAGATCGTCTGAAAACGCGTTTTTTGTACGTTTTTAACGCAAAAGGAACGCGTTTCTAAGTTGTTCAAAAGACTGTTTTAACGCATTTTTTTTCGTTTCAACCTCTAGTCACACGCGGTCAGAGTTTTTGGTCCAGATCCATAGAATAACACTAGGAAAAAACCCACATTTTTGACTAACAGGACTCAGAAAAGGAAATTTCTTTTAGCTCATAAAAATAAACAAGCGGATTGTTTCATCAAAGTACGAGAAACGATAGGAGATGTCTTGATCCTGAAAAATCTAATACATCAAAAAAGTTTCAGGTTATTTCAATAGTACAAGTTCTATATATTCTAGTAGCTTGTGCACATAAAGTCAAATTATTATTATCTCAATTATGTCAGAACAAATATCAACTTTGTAATCTCCTTCAAAAATTACCACGTTTATGGCTCATGTTCGCCTACCTAGCCAAAGTTGCCCACTGTGTTCTGGGAAGATCGGAAAAACTTTTTTCTTTTTGTAATACGAGTTTAATTGGGTCAGATGCGCGTTGAAAGGAGCTTTTGATTCATATATCATAAATCTAGGTTCGGAATTATTTTGATCAAAATAAATTGATTTCAATAGATATTAGACTAAGATAAAGGTGAAACCTTCCTTTTTTGGCCAGAAGTAGAGCTCTACTAGATGCATATGTACTATAAAAATCTTCGTTTAAAAATGGATGAATCTGGATTTTGCAGTTCAAACAACTTTCATGCGTAACGGGACATTTAATCTAAAATGTTGTTTAAAAAGAGTATTATTCAATTTTCTCCTAAATGTCTTTTTACTAGCGAAGGCTATGTCAGTCGAGTAATCTTTTGACTATTTTAAAGTTAGATTTCATTGAAGTTTGTCAGACGGAAAAGGATTGTCAAGTGTCACGAGACATTTCAACTTTTTTCGAGTCTATAAACATGAGAGACAAACGCTTTGGGTTCTACGATTACTTTTATTGCTCGCAATGCTTTGACTTCACGGTTTGTTCCGATTATAATTTGCATGGCCTCCTTAAGGGGGTGGCTACCCCATATATGTACCTTCAAACTTTGTCAATTTAAAGAGGACACCTGATTGCGCATATCCATAAGTTCGTTCGATGAACTGATAACTATTCACAGAGTTATTAATTAATTAAGTTTAAATTTTAATTAATATTTAAAGTCCTAGTCCTCATTTTAAAAAGCTCGTAACTCAGTCAAAAATAATCGTAAAAAAGTCATTCATGCATTGCTTGATAGCTAATGATCTGTTGTTATAGTCAAAAACGTTTCAGAAAAAGTTTTTTAAGACAATAATTTATAATTAATCAATGCTAATGAATACTAACTAATATCACTGTAGTGTCTTTATACTTTTATTTGCAAATTAACGGTTTATTGGAAGCGGTGTGTGTGGATAATCATGGCTACTAGCTCAAACACTTGGTGAAGTAAAATCTTGGATAACTCTATTCTGTGGACTTCAGCTACAAATCTCATTATTTCTGGTATGTCCTACGTAGAAATAAACTGAACTAAGAGATAAACTGCCTGGAATTTTAGCCTGTCAGTGTAAAATTTCATAGAATGACGGAAGTTTCAAAATACAAGTTATGAGCGTGTTTAGACGGAATCATCACTTCTGTGAAAAATCTACATTGCTGGCTGAAAAAGTTTTGAAAAACTGAAATTTCGGTACCATAGACAGTTTTTTGTGCTCTCGAAAATAATTAAAAAGTTATTTGTGAACATCTAAACTAGAAAAAAAAATTAAATAAAGGGCCCCCCACCCCTCAAAAAAAGCATTTTTCGACAAAAAACATCGATTTGGGCATTTATGCATAGTTGTATAGCCCAATATATCTGTTTTCGAATGCACTATGGTTTACTGATTTTACGATGGTTTTTGACGATTTTCCAGCGGTTTTTCTGAGGCACCCAACATCAAAAACTGATTGATTTTTTATGGTTTTTCCATGGGAATAACGCTTACATATGGGAAAAAGTACGTCGTACATGTCTCTACATGTGCTCATTCGATTCGACATGGCCGATAACCTACGACGAACTGCTCTCAGTTTTTTCCCTGTACCACTTTCCAAAAAAAAACCGCGATAATCAAAGGAGAAACTTGTTTTGCGTTTTCTCGAAACTGTTTTTTTTTGTTTTACCTGATTGTCCGTCAAAGATTTCTCCGCCATTTTAAATGCTAGAAAGCTCGGGAATGTTTTAGAATGAAGCTAAAGCTCAGCGCTACAACCTAACAAAGCCAGAATTTTTGTTTTCAATGTAGTTTTTTACAGAAAAATCAAGTTTTCTAAAAAGTAAAAGTAAATTTTTTTAAAAAATCTTTCCAAAAAAAAATTTTCAAATTTAAAAAAACTGGCTTTGTTAGGCTGTAGGGGCAAGTCTTCCCTGCATTTTGACACCACCCCGAGGTCCGTATCATTAAAATTGCGAAAAAATCTTTGACACACGAACACCTACTTTTTGACCCTTCATATTAGGATAACTCTCGCAAAACTCAATATTTTGAGCTCAATTTTTTTACTGAAAACTATCCAAGGTCAGGTACATATTCAGTAAAAATTTCACTAAGATTGAGTGCTCTGGAAAAAAAATAGATTTTTGACGGGGGGAGGGGCCCTTAAAGTAAAATTATCAGAAGGTTTTCTGTAAAACCCGTAGAACACCAGGAGTGTGATACAAGCATATTGTCAGACCCCTTGTTTGTTCAGTTCTTGATTTTCTATCGAATATATTTTTAAAATTTCCAGCACTTAGATGAGCGGAGTTCTTCCAAATTTAAAAAAAGTTAAATCTTTAAAATTTAAAATTTCAGCTTTGTGCTAGAGACTCGAGTGTCTTTTTGAAATGAAGCTTATTCTGTCCTGAATATGACCGTAATCTCAAAATTGTTTCATCTTCAGGCACTTTTTCTAGAAATCAATCTTTTTTAGATCCGGCACGGCAAAAACCGCCGTTTTCTAAAAACCCTATTTGGAGGGTTTTTAAAAAAGACTAAGTGAGCCAGAAGAAAAAGCATGGTTTAAAACCTCTACACTCTGAGTGTTAGTTGGATCAGTCCTTTTGAAGTTAGTTTTCTCATCTAATACGCCAGTTGGGTGATTCTTTTGAAAGTATACCAGAGCTTACATCGAGGTTATTCCCACAGTTCGAGAGTAATGGGACTAGTACAATTCGAGCTCCTGATGACGAATATCGTGCTTCAAAGATTTTAAAACAACGGCATCATGATCTTCTAGACCTGTGAAGATTCCATTTCCCAGAAGAACAGACCTTTCTGGGGATGTTCATCATTTTTTAGTGAAACACTTTCATGAGCTGGTACAGCCATATTAGAATCTATATGTGCACCGTTGCAAAATCCTTAACGGACAAAAAGTTCCAAAATGTAACGCATTCAGAAAAAGTGTTTTTTAGCAAAATGACCACAGGAGTTTCATCTGTTTCAAAAGTGCTTGGACAAAAGCAAAAATCTGTTTTTCTAATAGCCCATATCAAGTACATGCGACATATATGTCATCCTATGTCCTGCAATCCCGTGGAATGGTGCGCCACATACTACTCAAACTTTGGAAAACAAGGAAAATCGCTTTTAAAAGTTGTTTTTTTCTATCATTAGACGGTTTTTCATCTCAATGAGAACCACTTCATTGGACAGAGCTTGAAAAGATGCGTCGAATGCGTATCTTGTTGTGTGTTGACATGATTTTATGTGGGAAGTATGGTTTACAAGAAAGGCCTACTTTTCGGAAAAAACAATTTTTTAAAAATTCTCCTAAGAATGTATTTAACATTTTGGAACTTTTTTTCCGTTAAGGATTTTGCAGCGCCGCACATATGGATTCTAATTTGACGGTACCAGCTCATGAAAGTGTTTCACTAAAAAGTGATGAACATCCCCAGAAAGGTCTGTTCTTCTAAGAAATGGAATCCTCACAGGTCTAGAGGATCATGATGCCGTTGTTTTAAATTCTTTGAAACGTGTTGTCCGTCATCAGGAGCTCAAGTTGTACTAGTCCTATTACTCCCGAACTGTGGGGATAACCTCGATGTAAACCTGGTACGCTTTCGAAAGAACAAATTGATTTTAGAAGTGAGATGAAAAAATATTTTATTCAAGCAGACAGTGCTTAGGCAAACTTTTTTGTAAGTTAACACACCTATAAACGCGTTAGTTGACACATCTGACCCGTTTCAACCAACCAAATGCGGCAAAATTTAACGCAGAATAATGTGTTTGTGCAACAGTAACGCTTAGAAACGCGTCAGGTTTTGACACGTTTAACGCGTTTAGCAAGACGATTTTTCAATAAATTGACATGTTCGGAAGAGTTAACTTTACTAAACGTTAATAGGAACACATTTCTTCTCAAAAATTTCGTTCACTCAACTTGTTCTGCTATAGTCAAAAGTTGGAAGCAGAAAAGTTAACGACATAAAGTCCGATCTATCAGACAAGTATACTATGGTATTCTTCCTTTTTCTTTTGTAGGATAAAGCTCTGAGAGCAGTCATGTCTTCGACAGAGCCTAGTATCTCTGTTTCGCTTGTTAATGTCGATGTAAGTCAGGTAGTTACCAGGTAGTTGGAGAGAAGAAATTGATCTGAAATAATTTATGGAAAGAGATTATTTTAAATTCATTTTAAATATAAAGTAATTTTATGCTCATTTATTTCTAACCAGTTAAAAGTCAATTTTTTTCCGCACTTATTTGAACCAATTTCAGCGCAGAAATAAATCTCATCTGATTTTTATTGTGAAATTGATGTGAATTAATTAATAAAGACTATATCTCTTAACCTAAAAAGTAGATAGGTTTGCGAACATCGAATGCAGAGTCATATTCAAGAAGCATGAAACTATCGGACAACATGTTCAAAAACCGATGACAGGTGACTTAAAGAAGTCGGCGTTGTTTATGTTATCGAATGTAATGATCGTAAGAAAATGTACATTGCACAAACTGGTGGGTAGATTTGATTGCAACAAAACTATTGTTAGGGCGACCAACCTTACTATTATTGTTCTTTCCTCACTATAACAAATTTCATAAGCAGCTTAGTCATAAAAAGTAATTTAGTACCTGAAGATGTTCCCTCTTAAAAATATATTGTATGAGAAAACTAAAGTGGTAATTGAGCTGTACTTATTGCAATATATTTTTGCAATACCGTTTTGAAGATTTCTGCAATAGATCACTGCAGATTGTAGACAAGAATTGTATCAGAATCTGCAAAGAAAGTTGTAGATGTGTTTGATGTGAGTGAGACTGAATGCAAAAAACTTCACGATCTTTTTCTCTATAATAGTGTGGAAGCTAAGAACCGTTAATTTAAAGTTCATGCACCGAATCAGTTTAGACGGTTAGTTTAAAACTTACAAATTGAAAATTTATTAAAGTATTTTTTTTCAATACTCTTCCATAGTTTCAAGAAAAACTGATACTGTTCTACAAGTATCCAATTTTGTAAATCCACTGGTTAGAAAAAAGTGAAATATTCATTTGATTTGCTGAAATAACTAAATTTATGCTTCTATAATTATAATTAAGGGGGATAGACTGTTCCATTTGGTAAGATAGCTCCTTGTAGTGTTTTTGCTTTTAATAACTGTTCATTTGTGATGTTACTACTGTGTAAATTAGCATTTGAAAATATTGCATCTGTCACATCAACATTCATAAAATTTGTTGATTGTAATTGAGAAAATGCAAAGCTTGCATTAACACAATTTGATGATTGTAAATTTGCATTATCCATCGTTGCATGGTCAAAATTTGCATTAACCAATGAGATCTGTTTCAATGTTGCATTTTGTAGAATTATTCGTGATAAATTAATTGAATTGTAGACATTATAAATGTTAGGCAGAATTGTATTAGTTAAATCAGCGTCATAGATGTTTATCGATGGTTGATGATTTGTCATTAATAGATTTAAATCATATAGAAATTTTATCACATGACCTTTACGAATAGAATCTAATTCTTGAAGAGAGTGTAAAGTTATTGTACGTGCAACGGTGCGTGGCACTTCATCATCATTATCATCGTTGAGATCGCTAGCATACTGAAGATATAATTGAGTTAGTTCATGTTGATAATCAATAAGTATCCTTTGCCGTTGGTGTTCAATGAATAAATAAAGATCATGTTGTTGTTTCATATTGGCTAATTTCAAATCATTTTCACTTCGTTGATCAGTTGTTTGAATTTGATTAACAGAATAGATTATTGTTAAAATTCCAATAATTGTTGGTACGAGTATATTAGATAGCAAATTTAACCATTCAAACCATGAATGATCACGAATACGACGAGATTTGTTGTTGTTCGTTGTTGAGAATGCCACATCATTTATTGCCACATTGCTTTGGTTTTTATCATTTAATTTATGTACCTTATATTTAACATTTCCATCGGATAGCTCAGACATAATTCAGTGTTATATATCATCTGCAAATAAAGATACCAGTTATTAGAAAGACAATTATAAGAAAGTTATTAGAAGAACACATACTTGTTAATAAGGCTTAAAACAATATTTTTAAACAAATTTTGTAAATAAAAGATTAGTGAACTAATATTGTTGATTCACTTACTTTTTCAAATAAATGTAAGTGGTGCAGTGTAAAAATGGATCAGATTTTTCATCAAAAAATGAACTGACGTCTAGAAAAGGTGTTGGTATTATTGGTGTCTGCTTTTTTTTCTATTATAGTATGTTATCAGATATTCTTTTATAATTTTTATTTGATTTTAAAACGTGGAACAATTATAGAGTTATTTCAACAGTGGCATTTTTGTAAATGTCAAAAGTAATTACAAATACGCGTAACTTACTGATTGTATAAAATATCATATGTACACGATTATAAAATAATAGAAAAGTGGAATAGTATAACTCCAAAAATGTATTTAGTAAATTGAAATTATAGTCAAGTTTACTTTTGTATTTGTGTAACATAAAAGGAAGCGTATCGAGTAAAGGATGCTTAATATAGTGATCCGTCATGCAATATATTTTATCAATACATTAAATTCTTATTCTATCAAATTGAGTCTAGAAAGTCAGAAAATCGCCCGCAATTTTCGAAATTCATTTTCTATAAATTAGAAATTAATTCCACTTTACAGTGTATATCAGTATCTCTCAATATGAAGCTGAGTGAGAAAACTGTACACATATAGTATACTAGTTTGACATGTGCCAACACAGAAACAATGACTCAAGTTTAAAAATATTTCTCGATTTCGTTTAAGCAGTTAACGAACAACTAACGAATCTCTAAGAAATCATCTACAGTGAGAAAATCGGTTTCGATATCTGTTTCCTCTCATTTCAACGAGCCAAGAACAGATCCAATGATTAGATGGGGTACGAGAAAATTGCCTTCGTTGATCAAAAAAAGTCGATGAAACAACTATTGAGGAAGCGTCGATCACTATATGAGAAACATCGAAACAATATCAGACAAAATCAGTGATCAGTCGTTATTAGAAAACAACCGAACATACGCTGACGAATACAGATTTTAAAATTCTTTTGAATGAACACCACAAATACAGACTAGTGCAAGTATCGCTTGTTATTCGTATCACCAATCCTACTTTCAATGGGGTCGATAGATCAACTCCTCTTTACGTCGTTTTCGACGGCGTTGGGAAAGAAATAACAACGAGATTTTGTGACGGAGAGTGTTCTACTTTTAGTTGTTTTTGTCTGATCAATTTTATTAAATGCTTCATGAGTGCTTCAACGATCTTAATGGTCGAGAAAAATGAAGTCAAGTTAGAGAAAAACGCAAAAATCCTTGTTACTGTCTGAAATTGATCGCTTTTCCTAGAAAAAACTACACAAATAACTTTTTACCACTGACAGAGATCATATTAATGTAATTTCTAAATTTTTCTAACTATCGCAGATGAAAGCTCTATTATTTTAGTATAATAGTTGATACCAAAGTTGAACCCGATATCTTCTTGTCCCCACAAAACCAGAATGTTTATGTTTTTAAGTACATATAAATTAATATTTGGTTTTAAGTTAAACTCATTATGTAGTATTTGTCTAACAATATTTAACAGTAGTTGAGGTATTGACAAATGTTTCAAAAATTTTAGGATCTTTTATTTCTTTTGTGTCTATCTATTTCGGAAAAGTTTTCTCCATCTAACTAAATTCGAAAATATGTTTATTACATCTTTTACTCTTATAACTGTAATCTGGCATAGCTTAGAATTCAAAACTCTTCTTATCTATTTTTTCATACGCTAAAATAGCAATCTTATTTATTTTACGAATCGATTTTATAATATTTGAAGTTCTAATGTTTTGCTTAAAATACTACTTTAAATACAATTTGATTCGATTTTGTTTCTGGCTAAAAAAATCTTCTAGTTCTGTTTCTCTATTTTGTCATCCTTTAAGCCATTTTGTTCCAGTTTTGTTTTTAATAAATCAGTTTTAAACTCCCATTTAATTCAGTTTTTAACTATTTCATATCGAGGGATTGTCCAATAATATTTATCTTCATTAGTTCACTCAGAATTTTCTCAGTTTTTAATTCAATGCTTCTCTTAACCTGAACATTTCTTTTTTAATTTTTTCCAATTCATTTTTTGGACATACAATTCTTTATGTTCTTATTTTCAATCCAATAAATTATGTCTAACAATAAATCAGCTTTAATTTCACTCGAACCATTTTCTAGATTAAGTAATTCTTGTTGGTAATCGAATTCTAAAAACCGTAAAAGTTCAACACCTTTTCTAGATTTTTTTCCCAAAACAAGAAAAAATATTCTTCGTTAATTTTCATGATTTTCGACATATTGGATTATTGTCCATAACTTTTTTCTAAATCATGAATAAGTGATTTCCCATATCCATTTGAAAAAACTGTTTTTACAGTTAGAATTTTCTAGAAGAGCAAATTGTAGATGAACGATTCATTCAAAGGAAAAGATATTTCTCCCAGATAACACGTTTTGAATTCAAAAAGCTTTTGTATTTTTTCAGAATGTATTTTTATGTCAATATTTTCCATTCTATATTCAATACGCAATCTTCTTTAATTTTCAAGTAGGCAAACGTTTTTCTCATTTGATTTTCAATATAGTTAATAGAGAAATAGACTTTGGAAGTAGGTACACCATTTATTTTGGTGACCTACTGATGTTGTGTGTCTTAATAATTTGTTCACGTTGTTTTGAAATATCGATAAAAAATTCATAAAACTCTTTGTTTTTTCGTTTAGAGATAAGATTTGCCTAGCATATTTCAGACAAATTGCCTCAATCATCGAAAACATTTTTTTCTTTTGAAATCTTTCAAAATTATTTATGAATTTTTGTTTGAATTCTGAAACAACTATATCCTTATATCGCTAAATTTTGACGATTTTTCATCGACGTACTACTTTTAAACTTTGACCAAATATTAATTGTCATTTCACACTTCTGATTTCTACATTCAATTCTACGAATAGTTGATTAATCAAAATCATACATAATTTTTCCAATCAAACGTAAAATGTAAGAACTATATCTATCAACATTTTGAATATAATCAAGATCAATTTCCTTCAATGAAATATGATAAACAATCATTCTAGACGTTCTGATTAATGCTAGATTGACCGACCATTTTCGTTACAGCCTCGTCCTTGGATCTACGTTATTTAGCAAAACTTTCATTATCTATATGAGATATATCAGTTTAGATATTTATTCATAAAGAAAAACTTAATCGGAAACGAATTTCTTTTAAAAAAACCTTGCATAAAACTAAAAAGCATTCATACAAATTTAAAATGTTATATTGTTTAAATATGAAACAGCACGAACAAGCAATCAGTTACTCGCATCATCATATATAGTGTCATGATTATATTTTCACAGTTTCTTTTGTTCTTTTTCAATACAGAGTCTTACAAATCAGGGATGAAAAGCAGGAGAAAATCTTTTATTGCACAAAATTCTGATAACCAACCAACATAAAATAAACTTATTTTGAGTTTGTATTAGGATACAGGTAAGATCGGTTTACTCTCAGTTCGTCCCAAATTGCTCACTCGCACACCTGCTCGCCCCTTTGATGTTGTTTGATCTTACAAAGCCAATTTGGGACGAACTGAGAGGACACCGGTAAGATCATAATTGGCACCATTCAGTATGTAAAGAATTTACATACATGTAACGCCACGCAGCTCCTACCACGTTTTACAAGACAATTATAAAAGAATATCACTACTGGATTTACAACATTATTGTAAAAACATCATCAGAAATAAAACTGAAGTTGTTAAGAGATGCACATGGATTTAAAACAAACCTTCCCAGGAAAAGGTTTTGCGGAGCGAGGGACCGGAGGCCGGGCCATGCCTGAATCGATCAAAAGATTTTGCCTGACGTTTTCTTAATTGGTAGATATTTTGAAATACCTGGATTTCATCGTTCATCTCTTTTAATATGTAGGTTTTAACTTTTTTAGGATTGATAGTATTGTGTGAGATTTTGTAGAATAATTCTCTCTTCCTAATTTTATTAAGATTAAAATTTACTTTTTTGACATTTCGAACTCTTCTTCTTCAAAATAATTGTACATAATACAAAATGTCATTAACCTTCCTCATGAGAATTGAGTCTTGTGTGACGTGTCTTTAGGAGTGATTGCACGAAAGCGGCGACGTAGGGTGCTCAATTCTTTTTTTTAACTTTCATTCTGATTTCATCAGTTCGTAGCCCTACTAAAGTTAAGTATATTCTGAAATTTTTAGCCAATAGGGGTGTTTCATTGATCGGAAATAAATTTTTCATCTCGACACATCACTCTATTCCACACGTTTTATGACTTTTATGTTGAAATTTTCAATTTTGTTTTCTCTTACTTTTTCATTATTACTTTTCTCTTCCTTTCTATTTCCTCTCATACTTGTGTGAAAACTTTCTAGGACTTGTCCGTTTTCTGAAGGAAAAGAAAATTTGAACTACAAAGTTTATATACGAGGATTTTTATGGTTTCCAAGGGGGGGGAGGGTGGTTGTCAGTAGCTATAAACACCATCCCAGTAGCTGATCAAATTTCAATATAGATTTGGTGTTTACAGCTCCTGAATCGACTGGTAACAGACAGGCATTATTGATCTGATGTTGTTGGACAAAAGTTTTAAAAATTATCACCATATCTCTTCATATGAACAGAAAAGGAAGCTATTAATTAGAAGTTTCACTCGCGTGCTACTATTCTTATTTAACTTGCTTAAGCTTTTTTTCTAGAGCTATAGTTCGAGGTGTCAGGAAGAGTTTTTGATCATTCGTCAAATCTCAGATATCCTCCTCTTTGAAATGTTGTATGGATACAAAAAAAGGGATGATAGAGAAGGAGAAATCGCCTCTCTATGTTTGTATATATATGCAGGATTGCGCAACCTAGA